GATTATTTTTATATGCTGATCAGTGTTGCATTATGGACAGGTCTATTTTATTATTCTAATGGTTATTTGGCTGGGTGGTAACAGTTATGTTTGCGAATTAATCTTGGGTCTATTGAGTGGAAATAATTGTAGATCCGAATGCAGTTTTGTGGCTATTATATAGTGTTGTCTGTCAACATTTTTACTCATTTATTATTGATTATTTTCTTATTTGTTGTTGACTGTCATTATTACGTTCAGTTGTCTTTATGTGTTAGTTCGTAGTTTGTTAATTTGTTTAATATTTGCTTAATTTATTGATTTCGATTAATTTATTTTACTTATTTATTTTATTTATTTATTTATTTATTTTTATTTATGTTATTATTCATTTATTCTTTTTCGTTTTAATTTGAATTGATTTCTGATCGTTTATTTGGTAATTTATGTTTGCCTGGGACGGTATTTATAGCTATTTTCTCATCCAGACAGAGGTTATTTTTTTTATTGTTGTATACTGAATCTGTTTTTATTTCCCATGGTATCTAAACCTAAAAGCAGACCTAAAATGTCTCGAGAGACGATGGAGTAACGTGGTGCGCTACGACCCTGGGCAGGACATATGGAGAACTAGGGCTGCCCAGACATCTAGTTCCCCCTCTCGGTCTTGCTAGCAGAGTCCAAAGGAAATGATAAACCAATACAGTTTGGTACCAGAGCGGCTGCAGGAGTTGCCGGAAGGTAGCACAAAGTGCCGTCCATCCGCCTTAGGGGCTCCACTCCGGGTTTGAATTCAGATGTGTCCTTCTCCTAGACCAGTTTCCATCCAAGGCTATGGAACCCAGTCTATTTACCCATAGCTGGAGTGAGAAGAAGAGGATTCACACCTTTCCCAAGGGTATTAGCACGTAAGTGAATGTAATAGATTCGACTGGAATTCGAACTCGGCTCTCCGATTCCTCAATCCAAGCCGAAATCCATTACTCCACCGTGTCTCCCCAGACCTAAAATGAATACTACTAATAAACATACATTTTGTGCCTCGCTGTTTCTATATCTATAAGTTGTATCATCCAGTCAGAGTTTACATGTTTTTATTTATTGCTGTAAGCTGCATTTGTTTTCCTTATTTTCCATGGTATTTTGGGTCTGATTTGGTTTTTGTTTTTAATTTCCCAGATATATTTAGAAAGTATTGTGCTGTTTGGGTATTTACTACTTGCAAAGGATATTTTTTTTTGTTTTGTTTCCGCATACAACACATCTTTTGCCAAGCGAAAACTAAAAACAGAACTAAAATGAATACTACTAATAAATATGAATTTTGCTCCCCGCCGTTTATATATCTAAACCTTGTACGACGGCAAGAAAAATCCATATAAACGTTTGGTTACATTCAACCAACAAGATCCATTTGCTTAGTTTTTATTACATCTTTCTAGTTTTTATAGATGCACACATCAAGTTAACCACTCCTCAGATGAAATATATTTTATTTAATGTATGTAGCTTATTTTCTATAATAATAGTTTCTGGAATTTTAGACTTTTCCTCTTAGTCAGAGTGCTATATAGTACTTTGATATTATCTATAAATATTTATCTTATATTGATAATTGTACTTTGGTTGTTTACCATAATAGGATTGATATTTTTTCCGACAAAAAAAGTCAACCGACGGCCAACGTAACGATCATATCTTATACCTCAGATTTATCACTTACCATAAAACGTTCAAAACATCTCATCAAATTATTACGAATAACAGCAGAAATAAATTTAAAAAAAAATCTGTCCTCCAGTTAAAAACAATGTCGTTTATGAATTCTCGTGTCTCTTGGAGGGAGTAGCTTTCCAATATTAATAATCTAAAAGCAACATTAAATTCTGACAATCTATCTATCTATCTATCTATCTCATTCGGCTCATATTTATCTTATTCTGTTCATATCTATCTATCTAGCTATCTATCTATCTATCTATGTTAATGTTATCTCATATTGCATGTATATATCTATCTATCTTTTTCTTAATATCCGCCTATTTTTTCGTATAAGTGGTTTAATAGGCAGAGAAGTAGACGCTAATATAAAACATAATTCATTAATTGTTGTAATGAATTTAAAAAACAAGCTTCTTTTTCAGATATATTGCATTAGAATATTTTAATTTTTTTTTTTTTGTCAGGAAATCCAATAGTTATTATATCCGGCACTTTTTTTGTAGAGTTTTCTCCCTTTATCTGTGACTTTCAATGTTTGTTTTTAGCGGGAAATACACATCTAGTGTGTTTTAATCTCAAACTGGGTCAACGACTCTTATTTGACAGGGAGTATAAATTACGTTGATTTTATCTTCTTGTGAGTGTATGCACGTGTGTGTGTGTGTGTGTGTGTGTTTACAAGCATACAGGATTTTACCGTTCGTGTATAAAGGAAAGTAAATTGAAAGAGTGAGTTAGAAACAGATATAGATAGATAGATAGATAGAGAGAGAGAGAGAGAGAGAGAGAGGAAAAGGAGATAGATGAACAAAGACACAGACAGAGAGAGAGAGAGAGGGGGGGAGTAAAGAAAGGGTGAGAAGAAGAGGAAGAGTGAAAGACAGGCAGAAAATGACAGAAAAAAACTGGGAAAGTGAGAGAAATACTGAGAGAGCAAGAAAAATGGCAGTTAAATATGTACAATGAAGGAGATACAGTTAGAAAGTGATAGACGGACATAAGAATAGAGAGGAGGGAAGAGGGAGAGAGAGAGAGTAGGCTTATGAAAATAAGTGTATTTTTAAATACTTTTTTGATGATACATTTTATTTGCACCTAAATTTTAGGGGCAAACCCACCGATGTATGAAGTTGAGCATTTTTATACACATAAGTAATTTTGAATGCAAGATAATGATTTTGTCTAGCTGTCTGTCTGTCTATCTATCTATCTGTCTATCTATCACACAATCAGTCTAATGAGATATATGCCAAAATTTATCATCCGAATTCTGATGAATAGATCGCTCAGCAAAATCAAACTGGAAATAGGATAAGAATAGTGCGGGTTCGATAAAGATACTGGATCAAGAAATGCAATATTTATACTCAGAATGATACCAGAAAGAGCAACACAAATGCAGAAGAAATTACGTCACAAAGAACTTTGGGAACTAATAAGTAACCTTGACGCGTTTCAGAAGAATATTAGAATAATCAAGAGTCTATACTAACAGAAAATCGCTTGCATACGGATAGAAAATGAATTCAGTAAATATATAGAATTATGAAGAGGTGTATATAAAGATGTGTCTTCTCACCAGACTTATTCAAACTGTACAGTGAGGTGATTCTTTGGGAATAAGTTGTCCTAACAGCAATCATTGTTGGTGACCGCAATCTTAACAAAATAAGATATGCAGGTAACACAGTGTTGATGGCAGATACAGATAGGAAACTAAAAGAACTTGTACAGAATGTTCTGAAAGGAAAGGGAGAAGAAAGGACTAATCATCAATTGCAAGAGAATAGAATTCATCGTTGTTACAAATGGAACAGGTGAACATGCAAAATACAGATTGATGATACCAAAAATCAATAGAGCACAGCAATTTCAATATCTGGGAAGTGTAGGGAAAGTGTGACACCGAAATCCGAAGGTGCATTGGGATAGCGAAATATGCCTTTCAAAAACAAAGTTAAGAAACAGGACAATTTCATTAGAAACAAAGAAAAGTGTACTGAATTATTATATGAAAGTGAATGCTGGACCATCTCAGCACAGATGAAGAAGAAATTTGAGGCATTAAAAACGTGCTTCTACAGAAGGATACTGAGAATATCATGAATTGAATTACGTCACTAAGAACATTTGGAACTACCAGGTAACCTTGACGTATTTCTAAAGGATATTAGAATAATCAAGAAACTCTACTCGCAGCAAACCGCCTGCAAACAAATAGAAAATGCATTCAGCAAATACAAACAAATAGAAAGGGGTAAAAGACAATGATGTGTCGTCTTACCGGACTTAGTCAACCTATACAGCTAGGCCATTCTGAGAGAATTCGAAGTCCTATCAGGATCCATTTTGGGCGTGAAAAATGCGGTTCTACAGAATGCTGCTGGGAATATCATGAGCTGAACATGTGAGTTTTAGAGAATTTGGAAACAAAAAAAAAGACATACTTAGCATCATAAAAAAAACAGTTGAATTTTCTTAGGCACATAAAGAAGAAAGAAGGCTTAGAAAAACTGGTACTCACAGGACACATTGAAGGTAAGATGGACAAAGGAAAACAATTTATAAACAAGCTGGTACAAATGTGTAGCATAACACGCTTTAAGAAATATGCCAAATAGGCACAGTTTACGAAGAGCAGCAAAGAACAGGAAAATGTGGAGAGCCACAATCACCGCCACTATGAATAGACAGGTACATAGAATAACAATCAAACATGTTTGGTATGATTGATTGGATGTTTATACGGTTTATCAACACTTTCGGTCATTGCTGGATGCACTCCCCCGATTAAGTACTAACTGGGATCTATATGACTTAATATAAGTGCTAATCCAACAGGAAGATGGAACTCCAACTAATTAGTATGTTACGATCAAGCCACAGCCTGATATAGGTTAATGGACAACGACTTTATATTCGTCAAGACCAGCATGAGATAACACTGTGGTTTATCTGTGTACAAGCATGAAATTGGAACTTCCCTCTTCCTACTCCTGCGCATCCCCTTCCTCCTTCTCCTACCCCCCTTCCTTCTTCTTATAAGGAAAATGGAAAGAGAGCAATTGCGTCGGGTCGGGTGTAAGATTATGCTGAATGAAGAAAATCCTACAGGAAATAAACGAAAGCCGGTGGGGTATTCTGTCTTGATACTATTTCAGTGGCAGTTAAATATTCATGTGTCACGTCACATTCACACACATGCACGGATGCATTTCGTAAGGAATGATTGTGTAAGGCGTAACGTATTGTTTGTTTGTTTGATTTACAGACACAGAAAACAAGAGGCGCGGGTGTATATGCAGAAAGCTAAACATTTTATCTATCTATCTATCTATCTATCTATCTATCTATTACAGACTGCTTATATCTATGTATCTCTCTATCTATCAATTACACTCTTTTTCTATCTATCTATCTATCTATCTATCTATCTATCTATCTATCTAGTACACTCTGTTTATGTCTATCTATCTATCTATCTATCTATCTAGTACAGGTTGTTTATGTCTATACGTCTATCATAGTCGGTTTATATCTATTTTCTCTCTATCTATTATTTTTATCTATCTCTTATAATTTGTTAATATCTATCTATCTATCTATCTATCTATCTATCTATTACAGTCTGTTTATATCTATTTTTCTATCTATTTATTAATTTGTTTTATATCTATCCGTTACAATTTGTTAATATCTATCTATCTATCTATCTATCTGCTACAGTAATTCTTAATAATTTCAGCATTATTGAGTTTATTACAAAACACTGCATTCGTGAGGGAATTCCACGTTGGCGATATCAAAGGAGATTCGCAGAGATTAACGAATGATACGGAGGATGTGGAAAACAAAAGGTAAGAACCAGATGAAAAAGAAAGGGTTTTACGAAGATGTTTCCTCGAGGAGAAATAACACTATAGTGAGTTATAGCAAAAGCAACCGCATTTAGCCAGTGCTCAGATATTTAAACATGCTGGAGTCAAAAAGGACAAAAGGTGTAGAATACTTCACAAATTGGGACCTGTCAAGAAACCTCCCAGGAAAACACCCTATGAGAAAAGGAAATATTTAAGAGGGTCAACATTGGGCCAAGAAATACATAAAAATTGACTTTCCTAAAGTAATTTTCATGGACAAATCTCAGGTAACATTCAGTGAACCTGAAGAGGGAGGGCAAAGGATGGATTTTTTTCCTCTCCAAATGTGCCTGTGGCTGAAAGAAAACAGCAAGGAGGCGACAGTGTGATGTAATGATTTGGAATTGTCGATCAAACAATTATTGGACCATTTAAATTCGATAAAGGAGTTAAAATGAACTGTGGTAATTATATGAGATTTCATAGACGAAAATTTCTTTGAACGGTACAAGTCCCAGGTACAGTTTCAAAGTGAAGTCTGTATTTATGCTCAACAATGCTTTTTCTCTTGTATCTAGCTTTATCTGGGAATCTTTTGAGTTCAAAAGGTATACAAGACATGATAATTGGATGGTCACCATTATGTCCGAATCTGAATCCGGTCGAAAATCTAAGGTCAATTTAAAGATGAAATTATATGAAGGTGATACACAATATGACAGCAAAGCAGACATATGGGAAACAATTAAACCCCTATGTCGGCAATTGAACCAACCGAAGCGAAGAATATAACAGGATCAATGGATAATTGATTTGTGGTTGTTATTGAGAAGAAGGATCACCATATTAAGATTTAAATACTTCAAAGACTTATATACGCTTTTATTTCGTAAATGTTGATCAGTAGTTGATAATTTTATTTTCTTGTTATTGAAGTAAAAGGTGATTTCCTAGTATTGAATAACTTCAGATTGCTGTAGCATACCTATGGACGATACTGGTTATATCCACATTCTCATAAATACAGTAGTAAATACTGTATGTTGGTTTGCAGTTGTAGATTAATCTCCAGCTGTGCTGGTAAAACTCTCTGCTTCCGGGCAGAGAGGATCCACAGACGAGGCTATGTCGAAGGGGAGAGTCTCCTCCCGGGAAACAGCTACCCGATCCCGGTTTATACGGGATTTACGGGGAATTTTTGACCGATCCTACGGGTTTGGATACCTCACATTAAATCCGGCCTTGTGCCAAATCTGTCCGCGTTTGATTATTCTATTCAATAACCTTTCCTAGGTTACAACAATAATACATCCAATAAGTATAATAACACATCTTGAAACTACCTAGGAATTGAAGTCAAGCTTTCTTTTGACGAATAAATTAATCATTTAAAATTTGACAAAAAAACTTTCGAAGCAAATTCGAGATACTTGGGTGATTTGCATAATAACTTCAGATGGATTGTATTATATTCCTAAATCTGTTCACATCTATCTATCTATCTATCTATCTATCTATCTATCTATCTATCTATCTATCTATCTATCTATTATCATCTATCATCTATCTATCTATCTATCTATCTATCTCTATCTATCTATCTATCTATCTGTCTATTACAGTGTGCACACACCTATCTATCTATTTGTTACAGTCTGCACACATCTATCTATCTATCTATCTATTACAGTCTGCACACATCTATCTATCTATCTATCTATCTATCTATCTATCTATCTATCTATCTATCTATTACAGTGTGCACACATCTATCTATCTATCTATCTATCTATCTATCTATTACAGTGTGCACACAACTATCTACCTATTTGTTACAGTCTGCACACATCTATCTATCTATCTATCTATCTATTACAGTCTGCACACATCTATCTATCTATCTATTACAGTGTGCACACACCTATCTATCTATCTATCTATCTATCTATTACAGTGTGCACACATCTATCTATCTATCTATCTATCTATCTATCTATCTATCTATCTATCTGTTACAGTGTGCACACACCTATCTATCTATCTATCTATCTATCTATCTATCTATCTATCTATCTATCTATCTATTACAGTGTGCACACACCTATCTATCTATTTGTTACAGTCTGCACACATCTATCTATCTATCTATTATAGGCTATTCTCATCAATCACTCTCGTATCCTACATTGTGGCTAAGATATTTGCCTCGGACCATACTTTTTTGTCTTTCAGCCCAGACAATACTTGATCTGAGCGTAACCTGTCCATAATCAGAAAATGAGATCAACACTGTCATGTAATCCTCAGGATCTTCCTGTAAATTAAAAAAAAGGCAATACCTACAAGACGTAAATATATTTAGCCGAGTTAAAGAAAGTCCAAGCTACAGGTTTGGTTCTACTGAATATTTCTAAGAATACCAAGGCAAACATCGTACTAGCGGAATACTATATTAGCAACCAGAAAGTATTAATGGACATAAGTACATCAGGGAGTCTTCGAATTTCACTCAGTCACAATTAGAATTTTACGGAAACTTAGAGACCAGAGAACTGAACACTAAAAGGTCATGCTGAAGCCGACGAAAGCAAGAGTAACAGTGTTTATCGTAACGAGTTTGAATGAATAACAGAAAAAGGTTTAAGAGTGACGAGATTGAATCAAATGTTTTACTTAGAACAGCAAAAGACAGAGAATTCTGTAAAGCTAGGTACCTCCACGAGATCGCTAAAAAAAGAGCATAGCATGATGAAAAAGACGCCAAACTTGACGAAAACAAAATTTTATCGTCTAAATGTTTGTTATTATTAAGAGGAAAGGTCAAAGTATTTTGGGGTATTTTTTCCATTTTTAATCGTTCCTAGCACGTCCGAAATTTTCGTTAAAAATCTAGTTTTTTTTTTTTTGAGTCAGCAAAATTGACCATTTTTTTCCATTTTAAAAAACTGAAATTGACTTTGAAATTTTTAAATATCAATTATCATTTTTCAAAACTTATTTAAAAAAAATCAGTAAAATATTTTGAACCAAACTTAACTTAGCTTTTGTGCCAAAAAAGATGTAATTTGAAAATAAAACAAAGCAGGTCATAAACTTTCGCGTCTCTTGACATGTGATGAATGATATATTTACCCATGAGGCTAATTTATTCTACGGAAGGAGAAAAGTGAAATAATTTACATTTACGTGAACAAATTATTTACCCCGTTATTTTTAACGAAAAACTTTCAGCGGTCTAATTTTTTTTTTTTTACTTAGCTTTCATCTTTACGTTTATGATGCTTTATGGGAAATATATTCTAAAGAAATTAAAATAAAACTGTTAAGAGTGACATTAAATTTCATATTTCTTAAGAAAGGTATCTAATTAATTTATAGGTACCTTTCTTATGAAATTTTATCAGAATTGTACATAAAATACTATAATTTTATGTACATTTATTACATTCTACTGTTATTTGTATTTGCATTCATTTTGTTATTAATTTTGATATTTCATTTATGGAAAAATGTCGTAACTGAGATTAATATAAAAATAAGATCATATAAATTTCATAAGATGATACTGATACTTGTAGGTACCCTTCTCAGTTGAAATTGAAAAATCAAATTAACTTCTCCACGTGTTTCGCAAAAGTAAAGGCCTTAACAGCGGAGAACAATGCTTAACTCAAATAACGCAACTTAATTATATTCTGGTTGGTCTTCCGTATTTTATAATTACAGCTCGATTATAAGCACAAAATTACATTTCTTAATTACTGGGGATCTTCTGATTAGTCAAAATGATACAATTTACAACGCGCTAAAAAAAGATCTATCTCATAAGGACACTTATGAAAGCCAATGCGGCTTTTAACTAATTTTATAATATTTTAACAACTTAAATGTAAAATCTATTGTAATTAATGAAATAACAAATAATTGTATTAAAAATTCATTTTCATCGAAAAAATTTTTTTGCTTTCAGAAAATATTGTCCATATTCATAAAAGCAACTAAAAGCAAATAAAAGCATTTGAAATTAAATAATATCTTTGTTTTATTGAGTTTTGTATGTTACAATTCAGAGCTGATTTTCAGGTACTGCGTATCCAATTAAAAACAAAAAAAAAAACATGATTTGCATTCCTCAAAGCCCTGTGCTTTTAATTATTGTAATCACTAAAACCGATGCGATCGAATTTCTAGCGTCTTCATAAAATTAGTTATGGAAGCGGGTAATAAATATTTAAAAAAAAATATTTCTACCATGACTTTCATAAAAAAAAACATATTTATAATAATTTCGATCATCTGTGAATAGTTCCTGAAAGTTTCATTAATATCCGATAATTATTTCTATTTTTGCACGATTTTTCAAATTAATGTATCATACCAAAAAAACGTGCTATAAATTGTCTATGTTATTTACTAGTTCTGCTGATACAAATAGAAACAAGGTTTTTTTTAATCAAAATTTAGAATTTTCTAAAAAGAAGGAAAATTTTTTAAAAATAATTAAAAAAAAACTTTGGTCTTTCCTCTTAATAATAACATAAGCATTTAGACAATAAAATTTTGTTTTCGGCAAGGTTGGCGTCTTTTTCATCAAGCTATGCTCTTCTTTTAGCGATTTCGTGGAGGTACCTATGTAAAGCCATATCAGCTCACGTCTTGAGAAAATAAGGAATATAAAAGAAGTTTTATCGTTTGTCCGTCAGAGTGGCGTTCCAAGAAAATACTGCTGCTCGGCTGGGTGAATGTCTTCATTATGAATCCCATTTTGAATTGTCCAAACTGAAGATGCTCTTTTGGGAGCTAAGGTTTCTTTATTTTATAAGCATAAGCATTTCTGGAGGCACGGCGGAGTAATGGATAGCGGCTCGGATTGAGGAATCGGAGTGCCGAGTTCGAATTCCAGTCGAATCCATTACATTCACTTTCATAACCCTGGGAAAAGGTATGAATCCTCTTCTTCAACCTCCCAGCTATGGGTAAATAGTAGAACCGACGGAATTCTATAGATGGCTGCTCTACCATAGAAAGAAAATTACAACCTACTGTTGAAAAAAATCTGCCTCGTCAGTCATGTATCGAAAGATATCACGCATGGCACATAACTAACTGAAATTCACTTAAGTGCTAATACCCTTGGAAAAGGTATGAATCCTCTTCTTATCCCCCCAGCTTTGATTAAATAGCAACACAGAGTGGATTCTATAGTCTTAGATGGCAACTGGTCTACCGTAGAAAGAAATGACAACCTACTGCGGGAAAAATCTACCTCGTCGAAAGATACTTAATAGCCTAAGCGTGTATCACACATGGCATGTAGCTGACTGACGGCGGATGTAAATGCAGTTAATCCAAACAGAAAATCACATATTACATTGTGACATATATTTGTCCATTTTTTTTTCTGATTTTCTAAGCGTAGCATTTTTTTGCTTCGTAGTAACTCTGTTCCTCTTGTGACGTTATTGAAATTTGTTATAAATTAGATACCTCTTTGAGAATACCAAGAAAACAAGTATGGACATGTTAGACTTTTCCTTCTCTTTGCTTTTGATCAAGGTCACAGATCTGTCAAAGCCGTTCGAGACATTTACGCTTTGATGACTTGATAAAGTCATGACTTGAAGCCGACCTGTTTAGTTTGATGAGAACCAACTGCAGGCGCTGATTAAAGATGAACCGTACCAGACCACGAGGGAATTTGGTCAGAAGATGTCAAGTACTCATGTTACTGACGATCAATGTTAAGCTGTATATTGAACAAAGGAACAGGCTCAAAGAGGTAATTCAGCTGAATACAGTATACCGGCAATACAGTGTAATTATTCAACATAACAATGCTCCTCCCCACGTAGCCCACATTATCATACACTAGCAGTAGAGCCTGGCGTTGCAACAGTAAGAGATAGATCAAGTATCGACCATGATAAACACTGAAAAATAAAATTGACAAAGATTATTGTTTAAGGTTGACGGACACGCATGTCTTAATTAGTTTTTGTTTTGTTTTGTTTTGTTTTGTTTTCAATCGAGTCTACCGATTGAATAGAATTTTATTATAAACAATTGTGATGTAAATGGAATTTTTAAAGCATTCTGAATGTAAAAATAAAGAAAAAAGTGTGTAAGAGAATAAGAAACACTACCTGCCAAAAAAAAAGTGAAGTCTTGTTGAAATCGGTTGAAAAATGTAGGTAGCTTTTCTGTAATCTTTTAGTTTTACAATTTATGATTTTTACTTATTGAATACAGTAAAAAAAATTGCATATTTTGCTTGTGGTGATTCATAATTAGAATTCTGATTTGAATATATTTTCCATTCGTTGTTTCTAAGACAAAAAATATTAACTTTATTTGGGTTTATTAATTATGATCTAACAAATCTTATTCATTTAGTAGCCTTTCTGTAATAATAATCTTTTACAATTTATGATTTTTACTTATTGTTTACAGTAAAAAAATTGGACACCATGTGTATTTTAAGTAGTTTCCCGTTCCGGTTATTATTTTTAGTTAGGTCTTGTGTATGTTTAGATTTCATTATCTTTCGCTAAAGATAAAGAATTTCTCCGATGTTTGTATTCGTACAATCAGTAGAGATCGTTAGATTATTGTTTAAGGTTGACGGACACGCATATCTTAATTATTTTTTTTTATTTTTTATTTTTTACGAATTGGTCAAACCCAAACTCAAAAGAAACATTGTTTTCAATCGTTATGAGTCTCCCGATTGAATAGAATTTTATTATAAATAATTGTCTTGTAAATGGAATTTTTGAAGCATTCTGATTTCTATCTTCGAGGCATTGAACAGTTAGTGGACTGTTGGAAGAATGTCGAAAACAATGAAGGGGAAGAAATTGTTGAATCAAAACTCTTAATAAATATTAAGTATTAAAATAAATGATATAAAACGAACGAAATTATGTAACACCCTAATATAGAGATTTTCCAAGCGTAGCTTACATGTGGCACAAGGCCGAAAGTATGCGGCACCCAGTGAGGATCGAACTCACTACATAGTCGTAATTGTTCTAGCAAGACAAACTGGCTAACATTCCGCCACCTCGAGATGCCCAGTGATTTTTCAAGCGTAGCTTAGATGTGACACAAGGCCGAAAGTATGCGGCACCCAGTGAGGATCGAACTCACTACTT